ACGAGCTCCGTCAAATGGTTAACGGCAACCGACTCGTCATGGTTGGGGACATCAATGCTCCACACGCGGCCTGGGGCTATCACAGCACCACCAAGAAGGGGGCGCGTGTTCACGACGCTGCGCAGCAACACGGTCTGACGTTGTGGAATGACTTGCTCCATCCATCCCGAGTTGGCAACAGCGTCTCGAGGGATACTAATCCTGATCTCACGTTCACTAGAGACGTGCACAACGCAACATGGACAAGGCTACCAGACACTCTAGGGAGTGACCATCACATAATTCAAATAGAGGTCGAACAGGCTCACCGCTCGCTCAAGACAGGAAAAGCTCGGCTCACGGACTGGACCGCCTACAGGAATGAGCTTGATGATAATTTGACTATCGAAGACATTGAAGCCTGGTTAAACAGTATTGTAAGTGTTGCTGACGGACATACCAAAACGATACACTTGAACGAGGACAATCCGGCAGTCGATAATCATCTACTTCACCTATGGGAAGCTCGAAGATCGCTTATTAAACGATGGCAACGGCAAAAGCTCAACCGCAAGCTGAAGCGCCGCATCGCCGTACTCACTAGACAGGCACAGGAGTACGCCGAAAACCTTGCGAGCCAGAACTGGCGGTCCTTCTGCGACAAACTTCAAGGGACATTGAGCACAAAGAAGACTTGGCGCATTCTTCGAGCCCTGATTGACGACACCCACACCAAAACTAACCAAAGAAATACAATTAAGCGGCTCATGAGGGCACAGAGCACCAGTTACTCCAAGAACTTCAAGCAAAACTTTGTGGCTCGGTTAACCAGCAAGCTATCTCCATCAACAATTCGACGCCCAGGGAGTACCGAGGAGCACCGAACGAAGCACTAGACCAGCCTTTCACGCTGGCAGAGCTACACGCGGCCCTTGCTAAGCTTACGCGCAACACAAGCCCGGGAAAAGACGGAGTGACCAATAAGCACCTACGACAGCTACCGCCCCGGGCGTTGACGGCGCTCCTTCGGCACTATAACGACTGCTGGAGGAAGGGCGAGCCACCGCAAGCCTGGAAGCAGTCAGAGGTGACCATGGTACCCAAGGCAAACAAGCCAATCTCGATTGCGAATCTTCGTCCCATTTCCCTTACATCTTGCGCTGGGAAACTCTTTGAGCACATGGTAAACGAGCGGCTCACCACACATCTCGAAGACTATGGTCACTATCCGAACACCATGTTTGGCTTTCGCCAAATGCTCAGCACACAAGACGCCCTCTTGCAGATAAAGGAAGATATTCTTCTCTGCTTGAGCAAGCACAGTAAGTCATCTGTTCTAGCTTTGGACTGAAGGATATCTCAAGACCTGCGGCCTCCAATGTGCTCCGGAAAAGTCTGAACTGTTAGTACTTGCGGTATGCACCCGGGGTAGACCACCAAGCTACGACACTCCTGACCCACAAGTCTTTCTACAGGGAGTCCAAATACCACAAGTTGACACGCTTCGAGTCCTTGAACTACACATACATAAAGATGGGTCTGGCTTTGCTGCCCTACCCCGGCTGCAGAACACTGTGACACATCCCACCCACCTAATCCGAAGGGTGGCTAATCGCTGCAGTGGCTTCAAAGAGCACGACACCCTAAAAATGGTACAAGCTCTCCTTTATAGCCGCATAACGTACGGAACTCTTTACCTCAACCTGAAGACAGCGGAGAAACAAAAACTTAATCTGCTGATACGAAAGGCTACAAAGCTTGCCCTAGGACTGCCGCCAGCCGCCTCCACTGACCGACTGCTTCGCATGGGAGTTCATAATACGTGGGAAGAACTCACCGAAGCACACCTCATCAACCAGGTCGAGAGACTCAAGCTGTCACTCACAGGGCAAGCCGTGCTTCGACGCACAGGATACCAGACCACTCTAGAACCCAACGAAGAACGCAAAGGCAAAATACCGTCACAGCTGCGAGAAAGCCTTGAAATTCAGCAGATCCCTCGGAACATGCATCCTCAACATCACCGAGAAAGGCGCCTCGCCAGGGTTAACATGATCCGGAAAAAACATGGCAATGACCCGCAGGCACGATACGTGGACGCAGCCAAATATCCGAGACGTAATGCCTTCGCGATTACCGTCGCAGATTACAAGGGCGCGGTACTGGCATCGGCGACTATCCTCGCCAAACGTGCGGAAACAGCTGAAGAGGCTGCTATAGCACTCGCCACCCAGACGAGTGAGGATCCCATCGTGGTCTTTACCGACTCACAAACAGCTGCACGGAACTACCTGAAAGGCAGGGTCTCCACAGTGGCGATTAGGCTACTAAAGCGCATGGACAATCCTCCTCCCTACACATGCATCGTGTCGATTCCGGGTCATGAAGGTCTCGAGGGAAATGAGGCGGCACACACCGCAGCCCGCGAATGCGTCAACCGGGCATTCCCATACAAGATCCGAGGCACCTCCCACTCAACAGAATCAGAGACAAGAGAAGCCATACCACTATCGTACCATGCATTACTGCAACATTATCGGCTCGAACGCAGGTTATACCCCCCGCCACATCCAAAACTCACAAGAGACGAAGGGACTGACTATAGGCGTCTTCAAAGCAACACGTTCACACACGGCGTACTATTGCACCATATGAGGCCAACGTTGCACAGCTACATCTGCCCTCACTGCAATGTGGCAGACACCCTGGCGCACCTCCTACTGCAGTGCAAAGTAAGCGTCCCAAGACTACGAGCAGCAGCACCAGATGCGGACCAAGACCTCCTCAGTGAAGTGTGAGAGGCTGCGATCTCCCAGCCGGACCTGGTCGAGCAGCGTCAACTCTTCGCTCGAGCTCGGCGGGCTGTCCAAGCCAGAGAGTTCCTGGAATAAGGGACCCTCCCACCTTCACTCACAAGCTTTTTTCAATAAATGTTTTCTCTCTCTCTCTCTCACCTTACAAGCACTTGGGTACACCTTGCAGGGTTTTGCGGAATGCATTGCATAGATTTTAACGGTGCTAGGGTTTTGCATAGCATTTCAATAATCTTGTACATACACGATTCTGTTTGCACGCAGATAGGGGCTCGATCTGACTAGCCTGCTAACATTGCCTGTGTAAGCTTGTAAATACTTTAAAAGGATCCTTAAGAGAAAAACATGTTTTTATCGTATTTGTAAACTGCTCTTTCACAACCCCAAGGTTGCCACACCTGGCAGAAGAAGACGCTCTGCAAAAGAAAATGCGTGGGCGACGTCTTCTTGAAGTTGTTGCACCAATGGCAAGACACCGTAGATTTAACGGCGTTCCTAGTCGGTCACAGTGTAGCTCATTATTATCTGTTGGGGCCCAGAGAGGTTGCATGTGAAGTTTTAGGGCATGTCAACAAACCCATGTCAGCAACAGGGGTTCAACAAATAGAATTTGGAGAAATTTGTGGAACAGCGAAAGTTTCCTTCTGGAGCACTAAAATGCAAACTTGGAGCAGGTTACGGAAAAAAAAATGTTTTATATCATAAAAGACCAAACTTGGAGCAATATAAAAACAGAAGGCTTACATTTAGAAAAAAGAAACGAGTATGTACAAGCCATTCAACATCACCAGAGTAAACAAGAGTGCTGCTACTTTAATACAAGTAGTATTTTCAGCCACCCCACTGTAAAGTCCACATTAGCATTCTGCGCATCTTTCAAATACTTTGACAGACTCAGTGAATTCAAATGTGCACCTGTCAAGCTTGCAACCTTGAAAATCGGGGAATAGGAGTGGGGAAAAAAAGCGCACATTTTTATTTAAAGGTGCCAGCAATGTCATACACTGCTCCAAATTCATGCCTGTAACATTTTCAGAAGTCAGCAATAATACTAGTACTTACAGGTATGTGGTATATACACGCATGAGTAAATGAAGAAAATGTGCTGCATCTCGCGACTAGTGCTAAGAGCCCCTTCTGAATCATACGCTTTTCTACAGGACACTGGCACAGTGTGGCGAAGGTGACTTAAGCATTCTGCACAGGTTAGAGCAAGATCATAAAATTTTCGAACACCGCTCCGCCCCCTCTCCCCTCCTCTTTTTTTTTTTTTTTTCCGTGATGGAGTTAGGTGAAGGTTGCAACTTTTCAGCTCACTTGAAAGATGCGTCCTACTAGATAAAGTAACATGGCACGCGCCCGTCGATCCAGCGACAGACCAGACGTCTATCGTCAAGACGATGCAACTAACGGAACTTTAAGACAAAAATGTGTTACGAGCCTCAGCTAAGAGCGGCTGCTAGGATGTCCCCAGTGGACACCCTGGCAACTTAAACTTCTCAGCACAATTTATTAAAGTTCTTGACTGACTTCCTCAGCTATGATGACCAATGTGGTTGTCAGCTACACCAGCGTTCGCAGCACGTCGACTCTGCTCGTGCATGAAAAACGCAGTATGCGCTTCCAGCTCTAACTGCAAACATGCCTTAGCCACGTTTGCTGACTAGGAAGTTCATATTTCCAACGAAGCGTTGGTGGCTATGGCAACACATTTTCGCCTAGAAGTTGCGTCGTACCGTTGGTAGGTATCCGCTGAAGTCAGCAGACCGATGGGAATGCAGCTTTGTTACTTTAGCTGGTCGACAGCATCTCGCGAGTGCCCTGACCTAAGGGAATATCCGACACCGTGGTTTAGGGTTAAGGTCTGTGCGCCTGGATTGATTAATGACGGAAACTGCAGGTGACCAATGTGGCCTCTATTTTTCGCTGAAATTTGCGCATCTAAGAAAATTGAGGATGGTCGGGCATTTTGGCACAGCGTGGCTCAATTTCAGCAAATTTCATAGTTTTGATGCAGCTCGGCATAGAAATGAAGATTTGTATCAAATTGGCCCGACAGGCACAGCTGTTGCACCCCTCTATTAAAAAACAAAGAATGCGGTTTGAAATTTATGACGTCACTGTGGATATTTGGTCCAAAATTTAAGAGTAAAAATTGGGCCCCTACTTTCCTTCTAATAATAAAATGAATAAACTAGTGACAGTGAAGCTTTGATTGCATAATTTCTCGGCCCAAATGTATTTGATATTTCCTTTTAGTGTCCCTTTAACCTCCCTATGTTTACTGACACGAGTCTTGCAATCCTATTTCCAGCTTCTGCGCCGTGCATCCTCAATGTGCATCTACAGACTAGGCACAATTCCAACCAAGTCCTAACAAAACAATCTATGCGGGCATTTTCCAATAATTTTATTTATATAACTGAACTACTAAAAAATCAATAAATAATGAACTTGTCTCCTCTGCGACCTAGGCCTTAGGTGCGTCGAGTCCATGTCAGTATTCTTCCTTCAAGTGTCTTTACTCCTTGTTTGGCCTTCTTGAAAGCTTGCCCATGCCTTCTGCCCTGAATGTTCTTTCCACTAGTCTCTGTAAAATTTAAATTGTAAGGAATAAAAAATTGTTCCTGGAGCACATCAAGAGACTATCAGCACGGGCCAAGACAAACAGTCATTGGACATGGCTGTTGTACCCAGGGGGCCCCGTTACAATTTGTTTTTCTTCTACATTCTCTTGCACTGGAGTGTGGTGTTAAGCACAGAGAATAACACACACAAAAAAAAGATTAAATTTAGTGCACTGTAAGTGAAGTTCCAAATTCCAACACACCAACAGATGAGATCAAACACACTATTTACACTGCCACTGACGTCATAGGCTGGTTCCAATCACTGAGTGTCTCTTATTGAAGAATACTGGTATCATAGTGGCCATTATATAGCGAACCTATCGTAGTCTTGCAGCAGTTTTCGAAATTTCTAGTATCTGAGGAAGTGTAAAAATGTTTTATTTTATAGCTCACTAGCATGACCTGGCTGAGAACACAAATATTACACACAACCACAGGTCGGTAAAACACGCATAGCTCACTCATACTCATTTGTTAAATATATTTTACCTTTAGAACTCACTATTACTCTAATTCAAAAACTAAATCTTTCCTCAACTAGACTCACTCTGACTTCAATACAATTTTTACTTGCACAACTCCTTCAGACTTGTGGCTAGACTCGAGTGAGCCAACTCGCAATTTAGCGTACGACTGAATTATTAAAAGGTAGTGTCAGAGCATAATCTCCCATAATCGGAACTCCACTCCGCGACTTCCGATTTTGTTCCTTCAAATGTGAGATATCGGCGGTTGCAATCCAGTAAGCGCAAATTTTTATTTAAATAGGGGATACTTTTAAAATTTCAGGAAAAGAGTTTTCAGGAGTTGGTGTCAGGATCGCACACCCCTTTCCTTTGTAACGCTTGCCAATGATCGATAAATGTTGAGCGGAAGTATAAATGCTGGTGCTTTGAAGTAGGCGTGATTCAGCATAAGAATAAGCGTGCGCTTACGTAAGGCTGAAAGTAATGCTGAGGTTGATTGATTGATTGATATATAGGGTTTAACGCCCCAAATCACCATATAATTATGAGAGACGCTGTTGTGGAGGGCTCCGGAAATTTTGACCACCAGGGGTTCTTTAACATGCACCCAATCAGTAATGCTCAGGTTGAGCAAATAGAGCCATAAATGGCAAAGAAGTGTACAGCTCATTCCGACTCTCACAAAAACCTTTCGGGCTTTGGGTTCACTTGAACACGCACTCACCAAAACGTTCCTTAATCAGACTCACTAAAACTTTTGTGAACCAAACTCACTCCGACTGAAACTGGCCAAAATATTACGCATCCGGACTCTCAGCTCAATCAGAGTTCGAGTGAGTCGACTCGTGAGCGAGTTTGCTGACCTAAGCACGCAAAATGCAGTGTCAAGCCAATCAATACGCCCAGCCATTGTTGTCGATGCCACACGAAGTAACAATTTTCGATCGCGAAAATAGCTATTGAGCTTCGCTCTAGTTTGAAACCAAAGTGGTCACCCAATGACAATAAATTGTAACAACACTGTTCAGCTGAGCATCATCCACCTGCACATCAGTGCCTGAGCATTTTGAAGTTTCACGAGAAACGACAAAAAAGACATCTGTGTTTTTGTGTCCGAAGGCCCCTTCAAGAGCAGCAAATAGAAGGAGAAGGAGGAATCGTACAAACACTTAAATGCCAGCAAATTAATATGCGGTCGCCCATGCGTATCCGTATGTTCCTTTTAACCCGTGAAGAAGCACACTGACACAAGACACCAAAGGATTCAGAAACGTTTCGACTGGACAGGATGTTCCGTCAAGACGTTTCTTCCTTTTATGTCTCGTCTTCGTGGGCTGCTTCACGCCTAAGAACAAACTGTTGCCAACTGGCCCAAATGAGCTTTACTAAACTTCCTACCCCTATATGATTTAGCATGAGGTAGCCTTCTCAAAGTCTTATGTACTAAATACTATCTTTCCCCATCATCACCGAATGATTCATTTCTAAGCATGTGCATATATAGTAAATATGTTTCACGCATATTGTGATTTGGTTATATAGTGATTTGGTCACGCATATAGTGATTTGGTATAGTGATTTCTAATCGAACAGTTTGGACAGCATACATCACATATCGTAAAGAAAAATGAGCGTGTCTGTCATGACTCAAACAACAAGCACAATAATTTTAAAATCAGAACAAGCCATTTGTGAACGTCACCTTTTTAGTTTGAAGCAAAATAAAAGCAACTTGGCACAGAAGCAGGATTTAAATTTCAGTGGGATTCAAGTGATATAAACGATCAAAAGTGCTAAGCTTTTGAAATTTACTATACTTGGAGCATGTAAGTCCATATAATAGGCTTGTAAATTTAGGATTGTATGTACATTTAGTTTTGAAGTATAGCTTAACGACACACCAGATTTCTTTTGCACAAGTGTTTCCACGGCACAGCATTCCTCCACTGCAGTGAAACAGCTCAGCTTTACAAAAGATTTCAAGCGTTTTTTTTTTTTATAGGGACCCCTCACAGCGAAGGCTCTGAATGCCACTTTTTTACAGTTTTTACAGTAATTTGTAGCATTGCATCTGGTAATGCCGTTATTGAATTGTAGTTGCTCTTTTGCATCGTATAATTATTGCAAGCATTGTTAATTCAAAATGATTTTGCATCAGTTCGAAATGCCCACCTAAATACCACGAGAAACTATCACCCAACAGCAGGGCAGCGCCTGAGACTACATGCACTGAAGCTTTGGTGACGCTGAACGCGCCATTTTCAAGTAGGGGGACCCACAGGCGATGAAGAATAAAACGATGTGGGTGCTTTGAGCGCGTCCTTTCAGAAAAAATAAAAGCATTGCTCGCGTAAGCAGCCAACAACCGAGAAATAGGGGCGATCAAAACAATAGTCCACACTATATGCCAATCGGGCTATTGGGCGCACCCCGCATGTTCTGACACCAACGGTACTTGCGAGACCTCTGCAACGTCACGAGGGGCACTCCTGTCTACGTTAATTCACAGAAAATGTTGATTGCACCTGAATACTGGGATGAGCATGCACTCACCAAATTAACCAAATTAAAATATCTTATAGGTGATGCTCGTCTTTGTCACAAGGCTTTTTATGGAGCAAGCTCTCATGTAGGTTCATGCACTATGACGTAAAAGTCATTAAGAAATCAGAGATGAGACCATTTGTGCCCAAGAAATCCCATCATTAATTCAAGAAACCCAGAACAATAACAAATAACTAACAAAAGAACAGAGCATGCAAAGAGAAAGAGGTTAACAAAAACCCGAAAGAGTCAAAGAATGCGAGCAGTTCAGAGAAGGCCCATTTTGGAGGAAAGAGCTGTATCACTGTTCAGTAGACGCAGCGATTGCAGAGGAGGCGACAGAATCCAGACGTGGATGCATTCGTGCAGCCGAGGATGTCTGGAGATGCGATCACGACAGTCGCATTGTTGGCTTAAAGAAGGGAAGCGGTGAAGTTCAGCGACCTTCGGCAGCTGCCGCTCGGGCATGACGCTGGAGACGTAGGGCTAGTCTGGCCAACGCCAGACAACGAGAAGGAGCTTCATGTTCAGGTGAGAACCCGCAGCGACCATGATGCAGGAATTCTGCCAGCCGTCACTCTCGTGCCCTGGGAACCTTCGCTCGAACAGACAAGCCATGTCTGCCTCGATTCGCTGTTCCTCTGTGGCTGCCATTGTAAATCTCAGAGGAGGCACCTATTGGTCTCAAATGTTCACGCCCACACGTGCTGCAACCGCGCGTCATCTTCTTCATCCTCTTTAGTTTAGGCTGATGTGGTCGCGCATTTTTTTAACGCGCACTTCCACATCGCAGTCTAATAATCAGTCAGAGGTGCCCTACATGCAGGACTATCAAACAACACAAAGATCTCGGGTTCCCAAATTTTGGTGTCAAGGGTCCTCTAGCGTACGCCAATTTCGTTCATTTCAAATTATTCACCATTCCGAACAATCTGAATCCACGTCGAAGTGAATTCAAGCGTTGTAACATTTGTTGGAATATTTGAAGCACTCGAATATTCACACAAGCCTATGCACTTCTCTGAGGGTGTCGTGGTATAGTACTTAGGTAGGCTTTGTAAGGAACATTGCGAGCATTACGGTTCGCTTGCGTTGCTCTAACCCAACAACTCACTTCTCGCGTCGTGCCACGTGGCTTGTGCGCCTCAGCACTGCCCGCCAAGGCTTTCAGCATGGTTGTGCAGCACACTTGGGTCCTGAAGTCCTCGAGGTATTCCTTAGCTTTTGCAATGAGCTTCTCACCCTCCTCGTCAAGCACCACAGGAGGCACGCTGGGTGGAGGCATCTGCAACACCACAAATTGTCTCATATCATCATCACTGTTGCTAGCTTACATGTTTCTAAAGCCTTACATGACTTGCCTAAAGGGAAAAGCAATCATTAGCCTGTTCTTAACACGATGTCAGGAAAAGCTAAAGCAAAAAAGCAACAGGTGCACATTGTAGCTCTATGCATCCCACAAGATGCCTATTGTCCATCAAAGTGAATAAGGTTGCCACACGGTTGTCACACCACTACAAAATGAAGCAGGAATTAACAGTGGTTAAAAAATAATTGAGAGCAATCAGGCAGCCTCCTAAGGTAACAGACTGACAATAATCAAGATAACCAGATGATTGAGCAACTTAAAATGATGTTAAAATAGTGGTACGGGAGTTAAACTAGCGCACATACAATGGCATGTGCCATCAAGTCATCTTAACATAAAATCACAGACCCTTGGACTTGTTACCCCCTTCAAATCTCACTAAGTGCTATGGTAAGGTTGGGCTTAGAAAGGCGAGAGAAAGCCCAAAGCATTCTGAAAAAACACACATGACGAGACTGGTTAGATAAAAAATTGCTAATTATTACATAGGCTCTATACCTAAATGCAAACTATTCCTACTTCACGAATAAGAATTCAAATAAGGGTTTACTTAATGACATGAAATGCTAGCTGCAAAGCATCCGATCTATACGCAAAATACTGCAGCATGGGCTGCTGGGAAAGGACACCTTTACAGATCCTTTTGAAAGGGGACAGCCGATGCTCAAACGTCAAGTTTTTTTTTTTTTATGCATGCGTTACGAAAAAACTTTACATAACTGTGAGCACGTATTACTTAGCATATGATTGCTGAAAATTAGTACTGCTGTATATAGTGCATTTCATAGCAAAGAGAGTAGTTCCACTTTGTTGTACTCTGCACAGGCAGCAAATGTTGCCACAGGAATTGCAGTTCTGCTGAACAAACTGACTCTCCGAGGCCTTGACACGGAAAAATGCGGCATCCATGATATACAGCGTGTTTAGTTCCACGATGTGTTTTTTTTTCATGATGTTAGTGTTTTTGTGTATTTTAATTACCGTCAAGCTGCTTGTATCATGTATAGCATTAGAGATTGCACTGCAATGTTAAACGGTTCTAATTCCTTTTTCGTGTATATTGGAGCCCTTTTTGGGTGCCCTGTACATGGGGGCTTCAGTGCAGCAAATCAATTTTCACTTTGAGCTTGTGCATTCCCGCATTGTGATGATGCAAATAAATTTCAACTTAAACTTCTATGAAGGTCGTTTTTCCTGCTTAAGGTTGAGACTATGCTGTACACTCTACGGAGACCCGCTGTGTTTTTTTCTCATCCGGTACTATCCTTATACAGTGGACTCTCAATAAACAAAACTCAATTAAATGAAGATGCCTCATTAACGGAACTAAATGGGCTCATATGGCTGGATTTCAATGTGTTGTGCAGTAAAATTCATCGGTTGATCGAAACAGGGCTTATTGGTCACCTGCGGTTAATTAGCACAAACTCTAAACACAGTATAGACTCGCTCATGCCAAAGGTAGTCTCAACACCATGGCAACACCTCAAGATCTAGACAAGCCAATCCAAAAGCAATTCTCGCTTGTAGCTGAGGGAGCTGAGTCGGCGAGTCAATTGTGCATTAGGCCTATTTGTGTGGCTAAGTGCGGTGGATCACGGTGCTATTTCAGGCCGATGGAAAGGAAGCGGCCGCACCATGCACTCTCGCTTGAAAAAAAGCCGCAAATTTTTCAGAAGCTTGATCGAAGCGGCCTGCCCAAGACGGAGGTGGCAAAAAATACATCCCGAAATCTGCGCTGTCGCGGATTTGGAAAGACAGAGAAAAGGTTGAAGGCACTGTTAAGAACGGGATCTTTACATCTCAACGGACGTGGACGATGCCTAATGAACAACCAGAAAAAGTTTTTTCGGTGGTTCAAGCATGCACGGTGTTCCAATTTGCCCATAAGCGGACCGATCCTCGAGCAGAAAGCTCGAAAGATTGCCATGCAAATGGGTGTTAAGAACTTTGTCCTAAGCGACGGATGGCTCAGCCGCTTCAAAACACTCTATGGCCTAGTCTTCAAAGCAATCTCAGGTGAGAGTGGTACACTTGCACCGACTGGCAATGGAAATTTTGATGAGCTTTGAACCACGAGACATCTTCACCGTCGATGAAATGGGTCTTTTTTATAAGGCACTTCCATCAAAAACTCTCATCTTCAAAGGCAAAGCCTGTAGTAGAAGAAAACGCAGTAAAGATTGCATCACTGTGCTGGTAGGTGCAAACATGGCAGGAGATGAGAAATTGAAACTATTGGTAATAGAAAAATCAAGGTACCCACGTTTCAAAGGCATTCGACACCTGCCCGTTGCGTACTATGGAAACAGAAGAGCATGGGTGACCATGGCCATTTTCAAAAACTGGCTTCGGGAGGAAGACGCTAGTTTTACGAGGCAAGGCAGGAAGGTTATCTTCACCGTGGATAATTGCCCAGCCCACGGTCAGGTTCAAGTACTCCAAGCCATCACTCTGGAGTTTTCGCCAGCCAATGCAACAGCAGTGATCCAGCCGATGGATCAAGGGGTTATTCAGAACATTAAAGTTCATTACCACAGACAATTGCTCCATCAAATGATACTTAGAGCAGGCAGCGGGAAATGCTACAGCATAGATTTATTGGCAGCCATCCACATTTTGGTTTGTGCCTGGGAGCAAGTGAAGGCAACAACAATACGCAGATGCTTTCACCATGCTGGCTTTCAAGCGCAAGAAAGCAGTACCTGATGAAGAAGAAAGCCTTGCTGATGCCGACATTGAGACAGTATTGTCACGGGGTCGTGACATGGCCGAAGACAGGAGACTTCGGGTTGGGATTTAACTGTTTATTTGGGCGAACCTGTGCCCGGTAAACGGAAAGTCCAATTACAGCAGCAGTCTCGTACAGATAGCAGTCTCGGACTGATAGCGGCGAACGGAGCGTCGGCCTTCGATCAACAACTGACAAGCGGCGAAGCGCGTCGGCATTTATACCCTTGCAGTCGAATGTTCTAGCGTTATCGCTGGCGGTGGCGTAGGTTCCAGAACAATCTGTACCGTTCGCACAGTGGGCGTGATCTTATCGAAATGATCTACTACAGTCCGGAACTTTCTCGAAAACTGTAGGCGCGGTTTGCGCTGAGAATCGTGTGGTGTTTTGGGATGATAACAAAAACTTGGAAAATGGAACGTGGCATTGCCCCCCTCTAAAAAAAGGCATCGTCCCGATGCTTTAACTAAAGATGAACGTACAATAATAATGCAAGAAAGTACAGTGAATAAATTACGATACAACAATAATACAAAAAACACTGTTTCGGTTTGTTAACGCGCATGAAACGGCTTGAGGTGCGCGACATGTACGACTTCAGGTCGCGATCGGCGTCGTTGAGAGTTCGTGATGCCGTCGGGGACAACCTCGTAATCAAGTGGGCCGAGACGTCGAACCACTTTGTACGGTCCGAAGTACCGTCGCAGAAGCTTTTCACTTAGTCCACGTCGGCGTATCGGCGTCCACACCCAAATACGTTCACTGGGCTGGTATTCCACGAAGCGTCGTCGAAGGTTGTAACGGTGGCTGTCGGTCGTCTGTTGATTCTTGATACGGAGAAGCGCAAGTTGTTGGGCTTCTTCGGCGCGTTGAAGGTACTCGCTCACATCAAGGTTTTCTTCGTCGGTGACGTTGGGTAACATGGCATCGAGCGTCGTTGCCGGGCTCCTTCCGTAGACCAATTTGTATGGAGATATCTGCGTCGTCTCCTGCACCGCCGTGTTGTATGCGAAGGTCACATACAGAAGAATGGCGTCCCACGTCTTGTGTTCGACATCCACGTACATTGACAGCATGTCGGCGATCGTCTTGTTAAGCCGCTCGGTGAGGCCGTTGGTCTGTGGGTGGTACGCTGTCGTCCGGCGGTGGTTTGTTTGGCTGTATGCCAAGATCGCTTGAGTTAAGTCGGCAGTGAATGCCGTTCCTCTGTCGGTGATAAGGACCTCCGGGGCGCTGTGACGTAGGACGATATTTTAGACGAAGAACTTAGCTACCTCGGATGCACTGCCTTTTGTCAGGGCTTTGGTCTCGGCGTAGCGGGTGAGGTAGTCGGTAGCTACCACGATCCACTTGTTTCTGAAAGCCGACGTCGGGAACGGCCCGAGTAGGTCCATACCAATCTGCTGGAAAGGTCGGCAAGGTGGATCAATTGGCTGCAGGAGTCCCGCTGGCCTTGTCGGCGGTGTCTTGCGTCGCTGACAGTCCCGGCATGTTTTCACATAACGAGTGACGTCGGTGGTAAGACGTGGCCAGTAGTACCTTTCTTGTATCCTCGCGAGCGTGCGAGACACACCGAGGTGCCCTGCCGTCGGATCGTCGTGCAGGGCCTGCAGGAGTTCTGGTCGCAGAGCTGAAGGCACCACAAGGAGGTACTTAGCTCGAAGCGGTGAAAAGTTTTTCTTTTGTAGAAGACCGTTTCGTAGAAAGAACGACGCAAGTGCGCGCTTGAATACCTTCGGGACTTCGGCGGTCCGGCCTTCGAGGTATTCTATTAGGGCCTTAAGTTCCGGGTCGGCCCTCTGTCGTTCAGCGAAGTCGTCGGTAGTTATCGTTCCTAAGAAAAAGTCGTCATCCGGGTCGTCGGGTAGCGGTTGGTCGACAGGCGCACGAGAGAGACAGTCGGCGTCGGAGTGTTTTTTGCCGGACTTGTAAATTACAGTAATGTCATATTCTTGAAGTCTCAGGCTCCACCGTGCGAGGCGACCTGAAGGGTCCTTCAAGGTGGCTAGCCAACACAATGCGTGGTGGTCGCTCACAACTTTGAAGGGCCTGCCGTAGAGGTAGGGGCGAAATTTCGACGTAGCCCAGATGATGGCGAGGCACTCCTTTTCTGTTGTGGAATAATTTGCTTCTGCTTTGGATAGCGATCGGCTGGCGTAACTAATAACCCTTTCAAGCCCGTCAG